GGCGGTGCTCAGGGGACCATATGAGATGCTGGGAATTGCACCTGGGTCGGCTGCATGCAAGACAAATGCTCTACCCGCTGTGCTATCACTCCAGTCCAATCACGTACTACTTTAAAAAAATTTTTTTTAAGTCACACAGTTTTTATTTGGAGGTATTGAAGGTGTGGAGAGAGAGACAGAGAGAGAGAAAGAGACAGACAGAGACAGAGAGAAAGAGAGAGAGAAAGAGAGAGAGAGAGAAAAAGAGAGAGAGAGTAATGCACTCAAGCAAAAATGCAGGCTTCTCCAAGGGTGGAGAGAGCCCCTACATACATCTCAGCATTAGACAGGAGAGTATGAAAGTACACATCTCAAGAGGGGAGATGCAGGTGACACACGTGCTCTGCCACTTAGGTGCAAGCAGCACATGGGTTTGGGCAGCATATGTGCGCCCTACTCTTAAATATTTTATAGAAACCAGATACTGGCTGAAAACAGTAAAAATTATCTTGGTACATTTATTCTTAGCAAAATTTATTGGCTCTGTTTTCAAATGTCTATTTTCTATATTTCTATATGCCACAATGGGCTTTGCTGTGCTAATTTGAAATCAGAATCTTCATATAGAAGAAAAGTTTCATTAGCAGAAGATAGGTGACTTGGGAAGGTTTAGCTAATTTGTACTTCTGTGTTTTTAGCCAAATATTTTTCTTTTAACAAAGAAATTTGCATAATAATATTTATCATATGAATGTGGAATATATGTTGGGAGGATTAAATGTTATAAGGTACTTTAAAGCTCTTAAATATATAAATCACTATATAAATGAAAGCTATTATTATCTCTGTCATTATTGTTGGGTTGACCTGTGCTTCACCCTTACACTCATGTTTTGCTCTCTCAAACCTGTCTGGAATAAGGTGGGGCAACATTCGGTAAAGGACAACTCCCTACTTTTTCAGGGGATGAAAACTCTTTGTACCCATCTCATGTGGCACTGATTACACTGTGCAAATTCACCAAACACAAACAGGAAGACCTCCCAACAATGAAAAATAGTTTATCAGATAGATGAAGAAATGCCACTTATATCTGATATAAGGTAATAACAAGTATTTTGCCCCTGAAGGTGAGGGTGTGTAACAGGAAATGGGGGACTAGATAACTACTTGGACAGAGATCCTTTGTTTAGCATATTGACAAAAGTCTCCAAAAACGCCTGTGATTTCTACTGAATGACTTGATGGCCTTGATCCATCTGGGTCTATTCAGCAGTTTCCGCTAGAGCCAGCCTTCTAAAAACTTATCATTTTGGTCCCTTTTTCATGCTATAAATTTCATTGTTCATGGCTAAAAAAGCAACGCCAGTTCAATGAAAACCAGAATTTATTGCCTGCTTTGGACCAAGTATCATGCTAAGCATTTCTGTATAATAACAAGAAGAAAGGAAAATAGCATGGGCATAGAAATAAGACATAGAAACACACTCACAAAATGGAGTGACAAATAATTTTGTAGGAGCTATGGATGCTCTCTTGATTATTTCTATTTTTCTCAGTTAAATGGAATCAAGATCATTAACTGAGACTGAGGGGAAAAAGTGGAAGTATTGGAGAAGAAAAGATACGAGATGATACTTCTCATTCCACTAGTTTGCTAATTTGTCATTTATATTTCTTTTCATTTGCAGGGAGAGGATTGGGTGACTCCTGGGAGTGCTCAGGAGGCCAATATGTTGTGCTGGGCATTGAACAGGGGTGTGGCTGCTTTCAAACAAGTGCCTTAAGTCCCATAGAATCTCTCCAGCCCTGTGACCCATATTTAAAGAGACTCATCAACATAGTTGAAATTTGTTTTCCAACCACATTTGTGTAAAACCAAAGTGAATAGGAAGTCATGTTTAACTAGAGTTGAAGCTTTGTTATATGGTTACAACAAAGTGAAAATTGTAACAGGTGTAGCTGAAGGTGTAGCCCAGGGAATGAATCTAAGAAGGAACTAGGTAGTTTATGTTAAGTGAGAGAATATGTCAACAGAGGGTGATGTGAGAGAGTGAAAACATTGTCTGCTAGGTGCATTATAAATCTTAGTCAGACTGAAGCCAGGGAACTAAGGCAATGAACTGAAAATAAAAATGATGATAATTTGAGTCTGGCGCCTTAGACCACTCAGCCATCCTGACAAGCTGGAGAGATAGCACAGCAGGTAGGGTGTTTGCCTTGCACATGGCCGACCCAGGTTCCATTCCTCCACCCCTCTTGGAGAGCCCGGCAAGCTACTGAGAGAATCTCACCCGCACAGCAAAGCCTGGCAGCTACCCATGACATATTCGATATGCCAAAAACAGTATCAAGTCTCACAATGGAGATGTTACTGGGCCCTCTCGAGCAAATTGATGAACAACGGGAGGACAGTGACAGTGATGGTGATAACTTGAGAGTTGGATAGTTAAAATTTAAATTACATATTATAGAAGAAGGTAAATGCTACCAGGCATGAAACAACTGTGAAAAGAATTGGCATTAAAGGAAAGATAAAGGCATTGTAAATGCACACTGAAAGGTATTCAAAAATGGAAGTGCCAGCAGTGTGGAAAAGGAAATTAGAACTACAGAGACAGAGAAGGCATTTTAGATTGAGGGTGTTATTGTTAGCAAAACAACAACTGGTTATGTAAAAAATAGAATAGCACAAACGAAGGCAAGTATTATAAAGAACCTAAAAGTACTCAGATGCACTAAATGATGGTTCAGGGAAGTTCTAAAGGAAATCAGGGAGAAAATGAAATATCCAAGAATAAATGTTTTAAGGCATGTCTTTATTAAGGAAATAAACACAAACATTATTTCTTGCTGCCTGTGACATATTCAATATGCCAAACACAGTAAGAACAAGTCTCACAATGGAGACGTTACTGGGCCCACTCGAGCAAATCGATAAAAAATAGGACAGTGATAGTGACTCATGACCTATGCATAAGACTGATTCAATCACAATTACATTCCTGTATTTAGAAGTAGAACCGTTCAAAAGAAAACCACACCATTTAGAAGATGAAACTTTTGTTGCAAAATAAGTTGAGTTTTTATGAACTGTTCTCTGATCTGAAACAGAGTAGAAGACATAGGTCTAATTTTTTGACATTCTAAAAAAAATTATCAGTATTTCATAATAATATTTTTCAAAGAGAATTAATATATATCAAAAAATCTAGAAATTTGTTATAACTCAGGTAGAAAGGTTTGTTTGTACCCTTCTATGTAAGAATATAAGTTTCTTGATATACAGACATACTGAAGTCTCTCTTTTTGTTCTCAGCTGAACAAAACTGATAAATGCATTCCTGATTAGGTTTACTCTCATTTATGAAGTTTTCTCAAGTAGGCCCTTATGAAATCCTAAAACTTGTCTATGCAGCTTGTTTCCGCATTTGCCTCTTTGAAGTACATGTCACTCTTGCAAACTTCTTTTCCTCAGACCTAAATTCCAGAGCGATAGTACAGCTGGTAGGGTGTTTGCCTTGCATGAGGCCGACCCAAATTCGATCGTTGTCATCCTATATGGTCTCCCAAGCACTGTCAGGAGTAATTTCCGAGTGCAGAGTCAAGAGTAACCCCTGAGCATCTCTGGGTGTGACTCAAAAAGAAAAAAAAATAGCCTCTCTAAGGCAAACCATTTAAACCTAGTCATATTTCATAGCGTACTAAGCAAATTCCATAATGACATTTACTACTTTGATTATAATAAATGAATGTATCCTAGATCTGACATTCTTGAAGGTAGAATGTGTCTCATTATCTGTGAATCTGAAACAGGAAATATTGCCACATAGAGAAAACTCAGTTAATATTTACTGACTGAGTTCATGGTTGTCCTGACTGCCGATTACCGTAGGTGGTAAATACATACATTGTGCCCAAGGAGGATTCCATCTCTTTGTTTTTTTAAAAAAAATTTTTCTTTTGGTTTTTGAGCCACACCCAGCTGTACTCAAAGGTTACTCCTGGCTCTGTGCTCAGGGATCACTCCTGGTAGGGAGTCATACATGGTGTGTATAAGGATCAAACAGGTTAGCTGTGTGCAAGGCAAGCACCTTACCACTGTACTATCACTGTAGCTTAATTAACTTTCTGAACAATATATATATATATATATATTTTTTTTTTAGCCTATCTACCTCAGTTCTGTTCTGATTTGGTCTATAGATTGTAGGTCCTGTAAGTGGAATGGGAATAAAATTTCATCACATTTCTATTTTCCACTTCCATAAAGTGTATTTTTAAAACTAAAAATTTGAAATCAAATTTATTTTTGTCATTTTGTATATAACATTCATGCTGGAATAACAGGACTGACACATATGTCCACATTCTTTGAAGTTAATTGTGGTTTGAAAAGCGTGGCAAATTATGGTATAATTTACTCACAAGGAAAAAATGTTCTAAAAACTTAGTTTATGGATCAGGAAGTATATGAAACAATAGCTTCAAAACAATGCCTACGTTTTAGAACAAAATATAAAAGGCCCTCCCGTTGATCATCGATTTGCTCGAGCGGGCCCAGTAACGTCTCCATTGGAGACTTTTGTTGTTACTGTGGGCTGGAGCGATAGCACAGCGGGTAGGACATCTGCCTTGCATGCAGCCAACATGGCCGACCCGAGTTCGATTCCTCCGCCCCTCTCGGAGAGCCCGGCAAGCTACCGAGAGTATTCGATATGCCAGACACAGAACAAAATATAAAATCACATTTAAATTATCTTTTTATTGACAGTTTTTTTCTGTTTTTAAAAACATTTCAAATGTTACCAAAACCAACACAAACTAACCATGAATAAAAATTCCTCTAGCAAATATATATAAAATCTCTACTCAATTTTTTTTCTGATTTATTTGAGCCAATGGTAACTGGGATGGAACCTCAAGCTACTGTGTGTGAGACAAATGTCCTCAACTTCCTATCTCTTCAGCCCAAAATCCTATTTATTTTTAATTTATAACTCTCTCTCTCCCTCTCAAAGGCCTGTGATTCAAAGAACAAGTTCACTGAAGCCATGGATGATAGCTCTAATTGTTACAGCAGTTGTGTTGGTTCTGGCAATAATTATTGGTCTTCTTGTTTATTTTTTAGTATTTGGTAAGTATCTGTGTCATTGCTTTAAAAATTTGAAGAGTGACACAATTGTTTTTGAACTATTAACATTGAAAAGCTTTGAATGCAATTTGTACTGCAGTGTTAATTTCTACAACATATCTTTTTATATATTGTTAATTTGCATAACATTATTTCCATTTCAGAAATGTTGATCATTTGTACAAATCACTTCAATAATATATAATTTGTCTTGGCTCATCTCTTGAATGATCCAATAAACTCATATTTTATATGCTCATATTTAAATTATAAATTAAACCATAGTTATTATGGTTTTATTATTTAATTATTTATTTTTGTTATTATTAAATTAAACAGCTGGAGCGATAGCACAGCGGTAGGGTGTTCGCCTTACAAGTGGCCAACATGGCCGACCTGAGTTCGATTCCTCTGCCCCTCTCGGAGAGCCCGACAAGCTACCGAGAGTATTCGATATGCCAAACACAGTAGCAACAAAGTCTCCAATGGAGACGTTACTGGGCCCGCTCGAGCAAATCAACGATCAACGGGAGGGCCTTTACCTTTTTAAATTAAACAATATTTAATATGGTTTAATAATTTATTGTACCGAGAGTAAAATATAATTGTAATAGAAATTCTGACTTTGAGGTCAACGTATAAGAATGTTAGATTCTATAATTAGTTAATTGACAGCATAAATTTATGACTTATCACTAACAAGATGATATTTGTATCAAAACACAACTATCCACCATGCAACAATCTGAACATAGAATCTTCAAAAAGGGTTTAGGGAGGGATTGGCCATCACTCCTATTTAATTCCTAAAAGTTCACCAATCACAATTTATTTAAATTCTAAATAGTATACAAGTCAAATAAACTAGACTATCCTTTTTTTCCCCTCCCTTCTAGATCAGAAGATGCAGTATTACCAAACCTCTTTTCAGATTCCCAGTATTGAATATAATCCTGACTATTCATCAGAACACTCAAAAATTAGGAACGACTTAGAACAAAGAATCAATGACGAGGTAAGATTAAACTTTACTGGAATTATTTCATCTTAACAATACCATTGTAAAGAGTGTAACTGAAATAAAAGAAGATAAAAACACACCAAATTTTGTCTATGCTATGGTTGCCAGAGAAAATAAAGATTACCTGGATAAATTTTAACTTCATATTCTTTAACTAATATATTTCAGGAACTGAGAAAGTACATTGAACATAGATTTTATACATCAGAAATTAAATAATAAAATTATAACAATTACTCCTGAAAATATATAACAGAAACACGCAGGCTAATTCTTCTATTAGAGATTTCAGTTGTGGGACCACAGAGAGCATGATGAGCAGGGCACTTATTTTGCATGTGACCAATAGGGGTGAGTCTGCAGGTACTGCATATGGCTCCCAAGAACTGTCAGGAGTGATTCCGGAGGACAAAGTCATGAGTAAGTGCTGCACCAATGGTTGTGGTCCAAATCCTCAACTCCCTGCAAACAAAAGATTTTAGTTGCGTACACAGTACAAGGCCTAGATTGGCCAGAGATGACAGCTTACCAACTTTTCCAGGTTCAGAACTGTTTATTTCTGTTGTACTTTCTATTTCTAACCCCAAGAAATTGATGAAAGGAGAAAAGGGTGAAATTAAATAGGGCTAAAATTGCTTTTCAAAAGCACATCCTAAGAAGACCTAAGTCGTAAATCAGAATGTGTGAAGAATATTTGAAGGATTTGTTTCAATTTTTTGGTTTTGAGGCCACATTTCCTGTGTTCAGGGCTTACTCCTGAACACAGGAATCACTTTTTGTAGGTTCAGGGTACCATATTGCGGTACTGGGGCTTAGGGCATGCAATGCAAGGCTCTTACCTACTGTACTATCTCTCCAGCCCCAATAATATTTTGTTATAGGAAGCAGTATACAGAATCAGAAATTGTCAAAGCTTTAGAGTCAAAACAGCTAAATTCGTGTAGGAATATTATCTTTGCCAGCTTAGCAACTCAGAAAAGAAATAAGTTAGAGATGGTTTCACCCACCTCCTTGAACTATTCCGTGAATTAAGGTAGTAACAAAAAATATGAGAAGTAACTGAAGGGATGAAGAGATAGTAGAGCAGGCAGGGCACTTGCCTTGCATGAAGCTGACATAGATTTGATCCCTGGTGCCTATCCGGGTCCTAAACCTCAGCCAGAAGTGATATCTGAGCCCAAAGCCAGGAGTGAGCCCTGGGCACCATCTGGTGAGAACACAAAAACAAACAAAAAGTAATATCTGAATAAATATTTTCTTTACCCCATTCTCTTACAGAAATTTTCACATACCTCAGTTACAGCACCTTACACTTTCAAAGACCATTACATTATTATTTAAAAATTATGCTTCTTTGAAGTAAATTTATTTGTTGTAGAATAAATCAAATTACTCTTATATTTGTGATATTTCTCATGGTGTTTGTCACATGATGTTTGTCTCTAGAAATGCTCCTCAAAGAGGTCAGAAAAATGGTACAGGTGTTAAGATGCTTACTTTGCACAGTTGATGTCACACCACTAAGAGTGATCTCTGAGCACCAAGTCAGGAGTAATCCCTGAGCCAGGTGTGGTTCACCACCCCCAAAAATGTTCCTCAATGAATTGACCAGACTTGTAAATGTTTGCTTAATTAGTATTGACCTAAGTTGTTATAACAACTAAGTTGATTGAGAAAGTTGTTATAACAGAAAAACATCAGTAATTCAGCAAGTTTTTCTATAAAATGCAAGAAAATAAGTGTTATTAGCATTGTGGGTTATACAGCTCATCTGTAAGTACTCGAATCTTTTATTGAAACATAGAAACAGTTGTAAACAATAGATCCACAAATAAAAGTGGGTACAGTCAAAAAATAACTTATTATTGACTCTGAAAATGAAAGCTGCTAAAAATTTTGTATGACACAAAATATTATTCCTTTCTAAAATTTTTAAATAATTGAGCAAAATGTGAGTAGTGTTTTTGTATTATTGGTGATACTCAGAGCAATTGACTAGTTTGCCATGCAGGAAATAGTTTGCTGACTTCAGATTTAGACAACAAATTATAGTTCTAACAAATAATTTTCTAGATGATTAAAGCTAGTCTCTAAATGAATATTAAACATATAAAGGACATGTTTAATAGTCTAAGTTGTTCAGGTGCTCAGTAGTCATGTATAAGTTATAGTTTATGAAACTGTATATGAAGAAAAATACAAAGTGGATCGAAGAGAGTATTAAGTTGATGAAGGCAGGAAGAGAACTTATAACAATCAGTGTTATCATAAATATTTTTATATATAGAAAATCTGAAAGTACATATAAAATATATAATTTCTTTAATGAGTTGATTTGAAAATTTAATAATTTTACTATACTTTGCTGTGTTGCCTTTATTTTATAACTTTTTACAAAGAATGTCTAATAAGTTTCTCATATAAACTTACATGTACAAATAAAACTATGTCCTTAAAAGCTAATTTCCTTCAAAATGTCATTCAAAAGGGAAAAAAACATAATAATTAGTTTTATCTCACTCCTGATTTATCGGTGATCAAGTGCATCAACATATGCAATAGTATATCATACTGCATTTTTCCAGAGAAATTTTCCTAAGTCTGATCAGATGAATGTAAAGCACTTGTTCAAAATCACTCATCTCCACAGTGAGACAGCTATTCTCTTCCTACTTATGGAACTAATTAAGACGCAGGTTCACTTACGGTTTGGCATATGATCAGTCTTTGTTCTTGATGACTCAGTAGTGATAAATAGGCTTATAAACCCACAGTTTCTGCAACAAGTTGTGGCTTTAGTAGCAAATAATTTCTTCTAGGAATTTATACCACAGAAAAATTACTTTATACAGGAAGTCTAAAATGACAAAAAAATTATATGTAGCTTTATATTATTCTAAGTAGTTCTTTTGCATTATTTCTTTTTTAAAAATTGTATTTATTTATTTAAATTTTTATTAGTGAAACACCATGAGGTACAGTTGTAGACTTACAAATTTTTGTGTTTGTGTTTCAATTATACAATGATCAAGTACCCATCCCTCCACCAGTGTCCATTTTCCACCACCATGAATCCCAGTATCCCTCCCACCTCCCACCCACCCTGTCCCACCCTGCCTCTGTGGCAGGGCATTCCCCTTTGTTCTCTCTCTCCTTTTGGGTGCTGTGGTTTGCAAAAGAGTCATTGAGTGGCAACCATGTTCGGTCTATAGTCTACTTTCAGCATGCTTCTCCCATCCTGGGAGGGTCCTTCCAACACCCTTTATTTGGTGCTCCCTTCTCTATCTGAGCTGCCTTTTCCCCTAGCATGTGTGGCTGGCCTCCAAGCCATGGAGTAAACCTCCTGGTACTTATCTTAGCCATTCTTGGGTGTTAGTCTCCTATTTTGTTATTTTATGTTCCCCAGATAAATGTAATCTTCCTATGTCTGTCCCTCTCTTTCTGACTCATTTTGCTTAACATGATACTTTCCATGTAGTAACACTTGTATGTAAGTTTCATGAATTCATCTTTTCTAACAGCTACATAGTACTCCATTGTGTAGATGTACCAAAGTTTCTATAACCAGTCATCTGTTCTCGGCACTCAGGTTGTTTCCAGATTCTGGCTATTGTAAACAGTGCTGCAATGAACAAACAAGTGCAGATGTCACTTTGATTATACTTTTTTGCCTCTCTGGGATATATTCCCAGGAGTGGTATTGCTGGGTCAAATGGGAGCTAAATTTCTAATTTTTGGAGAATCACTTATATCACTTGTCATTCTGTTGCTCATTGATTTTCTCGATCGGGCACCAGTAATGTCTCCATTCATCCCTGTAATGTGCTAGTATAGCCCAATGGTGTCTGCTTGCTCCAGTATCAGGAAGAGCATCAAACCATTTGTTCAGGGTCTTGACAAAGACGTCCAATCATCTCGTAGGTGGGTGGCAAGGCATTCTTTTGTCACCCAGTGGAATGATTTAAAAAACACACACACACACAATAAATACGCATGCTGTTCCTTCCCACATTTGCCACTGGATCAAAACATAGCTTACATATTTTATTAAACCCTAAAAGTCTGATTCTTAATAACATTTATGAGGGTGATAACTGAGCTTAAGTAGAACTGTATGACAAATTAAAACACATAATTGTTATATCTCCAGCTCTGTGTGTAATACATACATATATTTTTACATTTAAAAGGTAAAAGGTAAAGGCTCTCCCGTTGATTGTTGATTTGCTCGAGCGGGCCCAGTAACGTCTCCATTGGAGACTTTGTTGTTACTGTGTTTGGCATATCGAATACTCTCGGTAGCTTGCCGGGCTCTCCGAGAGGGGCGGAGGAATCGAACTCGGGTTGTCCATGTTGGCCGCTTGTAAGGCGAACGCCCTACCACTGTGCTATCGCTCCATTTATGTTTAACATATTTTATATGGGTATACTTGGGGAGCCCTCCTAAGTGGTACTCAAGGAGTCACATTCAATGATTCTTAAAAGGACAGGTGGTTCATTGTAACGACTTGAGTATATGAAGGTGCTCAGACTTTGAGGGAACTACCAAGGAACGTCACTGGGCTTTTTTCAATGGCCACCAAGACCAAAGTTAGTGATACTTAGGAGCCTTAGAGTTATGTCATGGTGATGCTAGGTGTAATGTTGTAATGGGGTGGAGCTGGAGTTAAGAGCATGTAAGGCAAGCATCTTAATCCCTATATTTTCTCTGGCATCTCATTTTTTTTTTGTAACAAATGTCGTACCCTCTGGTCTTTAGGGGTTGGCACTAGGAGTCTATGTTTCTGATGTTCAGAGGACACCAGGGCCACGCCATTCTAGCAGTGCTAGGAGAGCCATGTGTGAACTGAGAATAAATTCGGGGCCTTGCATATCCTAGATATGTTTTCTTCTATTTGAACTCTTTCTTTGGGCTTGTGTAGAGTTTATACTATTGAAATACTTTTTATTTTGAAGTGTTTACCTCAGCTAATCTTTAACTTATGTCCTAATGTGACATGCTACCAACATTCACTACAATGCTGATCTTATGAAAGCAGCATTCTGTCTAAATGAGTTGCTAAGGATTGTTGCAAGTAAACTTGAAAATAAATACTTTTTGTGTCACTGCATTTCTTGAGCAAGCATTTTTGTGATATATTAAAATGTATGAAATTTAGATGTAATGATTTCTATCTATTCTATACTTTTGTTTTTCTTTTCTCAGATGGATAATATATTTAAAGGTTCCAGTTTAAGTCATCATTACATCAGTGCTCATGCTTTCAACTTCAGGTAATAACAACTCATCAATTTTCATAATGAGAAGGCAATTTATTATTCTATTTATTTATCAATTTAAATAGAAACTCTTAGATAATTCAAAAACAATCCCAGCAATATTGTAACACAATTTGTATTTTACCTCTCTAAAAGATCTGTAATTTTGCAATATCTCTTGGTGGAAAAGGGACTCCCAAGAAGAGCTCAGAAGACCTGGGTGCACTCTCAGTGCTAGTGAGTTGAGCCAGGTGGTTCAATGTCAGGGCCAGTGGATGCCAGCTGCTTAGTCCCTATGCTGCAAGAAACCACAAGGAGTGGCAGTGCCAAGCCTCTGCGGCTTCACACAGGAATACTTCTGGGACCATGTAATACAGGGGCATGAATTAGGCATGGTGCATGTTTTACTGACCATGACTGGGCAAAGTTTAACCTGGGTAGTTTTAGTTGTCTTTTGAATGACTTTTGCATTTCTGTTGAAGATTATTACAATCACCATCCAGTCCTCTCATTTTTACCTCCTTTACTAAACAATAGCCAGTTATTATGAACCCTTAAGTCAAGAATATATACATACATATGTGCACAAAGTTGTTAGATTTAATAGGAGCTGAAGATTTCTTTTTTCAGAAAAATATTTTAGAGGTTAGAGAAATAAATAGTACAGTAGGTACAGCACTTGTCTTCCACATGACCCATCTGGATTAAATTCTCAGCATCACTGCATATGATCTCTTGAGCACCTTCAGGATTGATCCCTGAGAACAGAACCCGGAGTAAGCCCTGAGCATCCAAGGAGTGGCCTCAGACCAGAAAAAAAGAGAAAGAATTAGAACTTTAAGTTATTTTTCTCTATATGACGGCGCAAAAATAATTCATATACCTCTATTATAGTAATATATTAACTAATATATTAACACCTCTATGGAAACAATCTATGAAAGTAAACTATATAAAAATATCCATGTTGCATTTTCCTGAAGTGATACCAAATATTTAAATAATATGGTATAAAGTAATCGTCAGTTTGTCTATGATCTCACAAATAGACATGCTTTTTCTTAAAACGTGCTTTTGTTTCTCAGGTCAAGTAATGATGGCTTGAAAGCAGATGTATTGCTTAAATTTCAGTTTGTTTCTGGTAATGCAGATGTGATAAAAAGTCAAGCTGATAAAATCTTGCATCAGATGTTGAAATTAGATGAAAGCTTTTTGAAGATAGATGCTTCATTACCTCATCTTAGAGGTAAGAACTAACACTTTTTTCCACTAGAATTTACCATTTTTACTTTCATCTACAGAACTGGTATTGTGTGGGAAATTACTTAACAGCATGCTGCAAAATAAAGGGATAAGATTACATATTCCCATCTTGGATGTTGGCAACGCCAAATGGAGTGCCCATGAGTGTAGGTGACTACATAATGAAATTTCCTAGGGAATATGATTCAATGGGCCGTTTCAAAGTTCAGTTCACCTGAGTCTCTGGGCAGATTAAGAGCCCATTGCCTTGGTATTGCCTTTTCTTAAATTCTGGCATAACCATTATACTCATTTCCTTCCAGCTTTTAAAGTTTTTTTTTTTTTTTTTTTGTGGAGGAGAGTAGTTTTGAGTTCATGCCCAGTGATTTTGAGGGCTTACTCCTAGTTCTGCACTCAGGGATCACTTCCGGAAGTGCTCAGAGGATTATAGGTAGTTTGGGATGTCACACTGAGATGGCCACATGCAAGGTAAGTGCCTTAATAATTTTTATGTTAACCTGATGTATCATTTTCAAAGAACTTCATTGTATTTATAAAACAACAGTAGGGAAAATGTTTACAATATCTTGTTCTAAAACTGCAGCCATTTGTTCTCTTTATCCTGACTTTGGAACACATACTAGAAAAGGTTCACATTAAGATGTAGAACCATGATATCAATTTATCTAGTTTTTGCAGTACACACAGACATGATACGTTATTATACACACTTGGATCTTTATTTATTTTTTATTTTTTATTTTCTTTTGCTTTTTGGGTCATACCTGGCGATGCACAGGGGTTACTCCTGGTTCTGCACTCAGGAATCACCCCTGTGTGCTCAGGGGACCATATGGGATGCTGGGAATCAAACCTGGGTCGGCTGCATGCAAGGCAAACACCCTACCCGCTGTGCTATTGCTCCAGCCCCCACACTTGGAACTTTAAAAGTATTTAAACATTTTATTTTTAGATCCATTTATATATTTTAAAAACTTTATATATATTATTTATTCCTCAAAATTTTAAAAAATCATTTATGCATATGCAGAAATAATCAACATGCCTTTGTTAAATGTAGGTGTAAACTAAGCATAATTTCATTCCTTTTCCACATACAGAGAATGACACTAAATTGTAACCACCTTGGGTTTGATGACTAAGGAACAGATTTTTTTTGTTTTTGTCTTTTGCTTCAAGTTATACAACTTTGTAGATCTTCCTTATTAACTTATTGTAAGGATATCAAAGATCGGTAATGCAAAATGTTTACCAAAATACTCAGGTATGAATTTGGTAAACAATTAGTTATCATTACTACTCACTTATTTGCTCAGTAAATATTTATTAAGAATATAAATAAGATTCTTATTTATTAGTACAGAAGTTAAATTGCCTTGCATATGGCAGGTCCTGGTTCCACCCCATGCACTGCCTATGGTCTCTGAGCACTTCCAGGAATTATCTCTGAGCACAGAGTTAGTAGCAAACCCTGAGTGCCATCAAGTGTGAGCTCTCCCCCAGCAAAAAAAAAAAAAAAAAATGTGTCAGGGAATAAATCTTCCGTCTTCCTAGAATTAACATTTCAATTGAGCTAAGGAAGATAGTGACCTGGTAAATAAATAAGTAGCCAATAAATTAAAATAAAAGAGGAAAAAGAATGTAAAGTTACTTCACATTTTGTTTTATGGAAAGAAATATGAAATATTTCTGAAATATAAATGACAATAGAAAATCAACCCCATAAAGTTCAAGAAATGAATGTTCCTAGTAGAGAGGGCAACTAGAGCAAAGGAATGAACACACCATCAGTGTTAAAAAAAAAAAAGGCCAAGATCGCTATTGAGTAGAAGTTAAGAACAAGAGTAGTTAAGTATGACACCAAAGACATAATTAAGGACCATGTCATCAGACAGAATAGCACTGTTCTCCCATTGTTCATTGATTTGCTCTAGTGGGCACCATTGTGAGACTTGTTGTTACTGTTTTTGGCATATTGAATATGCCACAGGGAGCTTGCCAGGCTCTGCCGTGTGGACGGGATACTCTCAGTAGCTTGCTGGGCTCTCCCAAAGGGATGGAGGAATTCAATCCAGGTCAGCCTTGTGCAAAGCAACTGCCCTACCCGCTGTGCTATTGCTCCAGCCCATTAGATAGGATATAAGAGCTAATTCTACAGCCAGGGACACCTCTATTATTGGCAAAATCTAAGTTTAAGTTATTTATTAACTGTCCAAGTTTATTTTCTTGAAGATGAATTCAATTTTCCAAGTTAAAATCTGCCCTGAATAATCTCAGGCTCACCTAAACCCTATATTGCCTATAGATATTGGTATAATATATTTATTAGCTTTAATCTTAACAAAATATGGGTATGAATTATTTATTATACTAGGGAGCATAAGAAATTGTTTATGTAATTTTTGAGAATCACCCGCAGAACAGTTCTTCAATTCATTAATATATTTTGTGGGGCTGGAGCGATAGCACAGCAGGTAGGGCGTTTGCCTTGCATGCAGCCAACATGACTGACACAGGTTCGATTCCCAGCATCCCATATGGTCCCCTGAGCACCGCCAGGAGTGATTCCTGAGTGCATGAGCCAGGAGTGACCCCTGAGCATTGCCGGGTGTGACCCAAAAAGCAAAAAAAAAAGAGAAATATATATATATATATATTTTGTTACTTTTTTAGTACACCAATACAATTTGCATCAGTAACATACGTGGATGCCATAGGAGCCTATGAAGCTTTATGTCTTTGAAGATCGTATCATAAAACAAAAGCACAGGCATAAAGTGTCCAAATATATAAAATAGTTAAATGTATAGGTAGTCTTATATACTGTTATACTACCATTTAACTGATGTGGCATAATAAAGTATTTTAATGTAATTCTCTTTAGTGGTAAACAATATCTTCTCTACTGATATTCCTTCTATATAAAATCTTCTCTGTAAGATTTTATATCACAAAACAGAATTTTCCCAGAGTTTAATATAGTCAGAAGAGTTAAATTTAATCTAACTCTCTCATCTTCTTTGTAGGATTTTATTCTATTGTTTTTAAATAAAAATCTTTCTCATTATTTCAAATTAACCTGAACCTGTTATACTACATGGAATTTTACATTACAAATTTACATTAACAAACAATTATTTTTTTGAACCTGTAATACTACATGAAATTTTATTTTTTCCAGATGTGAATGAAGAGCAAGCAGAACACATTTTGAACAGGAGTAAGTTAAAAATATCATCAAAATATTTATGTCAAGAAATCAAAATCAAATTTTAGAGCATTTCTGTATTTGTCTTTACTATTTCCCAAAAGTATGGTATCTTTGAATAAGTATGTGACTTAACACTGTCCAAAAGAGAAAATTATAGCAAACAATTGGGAATTTTTTTATAATCATACTAATTCTTTCTCATAAAAAGTTTTACTAATGCGTTATCTAAGCAATTCTTTAATTTTATTTAATTCTTTTGGATTTGGTTCACTTTATTAAATTAAAAATATTATTAAAATGACATCTATTATCATTTATATAACAGAGGTGAGCAGTTCACCACTAATGAAAAACTTCACAGAGAATATGACCAAAATAATATCTTTAAAGTGAAATTTAAATATGTCAATAAAAGTGTTCAATTATTATAACTTTTGGTGTAAATAATCATTGTTCTGATGTATAATTTCAATTGATTTTTACAACCAAACCCATAAATGTTCCATCTTTATGTACTAAACATTCGAACACATCTTATAGCACTGGTAAGAACCATCTTATTCCCTTCTGACAGGCTGTGGTGTAGGGAAGGAGCTTCCATCCATGGATAGAATTGCAGATGGTAGAATTGCAAGGAAAACTGATTGGCCATGGCAAGCCAGCCTACAAATGGATGGCATTCACTTCTGTGGAGCATCTTTGATCAGTGAAGAATGGCTCCTCACTGCGGCTCACTGTTTTGACACGTAAGTCCACAGTCTTTACCAATAGTATCACCTATTTTACCCTTTTTTCTTCCACCTTCACTTCTGATAATTTGTCCCTTTTACATTAATTATCTTAAGCCTTCCACAGGTACTCATGATTATCTAATAGGCTTAGGAGAAACAATTACTAAGGAAAGAACAGGACAAAATGCTAGGAGAGGATCTTGAAGTTCAAATGAAAGTATATTCTTAGGAAATCTCAATTTTATTTCATTTTAAATATTTTTCTTTTATATATTGTTTATATATTTTATATATTTTTGGTACTATGCCTTTATTGTTTGTACTTTTAAGATTTGACATATGCAACACTGGAGATAATAATTATGATAATTTTAGTGAAAGTCATATGAACTGATAATATCTCCTATGTGAAGTTCACTACGATGAGAAAAATTATGTAAGATATGGCTCCAATTTTATATCTTTCTCTCATCCTCCCTCTCATGATTCTTTCCATAGCTAGACAAATATTTATAGATCTGTTAAGGTATATGAATACATATGTTCATGTTGCTGTATGTATAGATAGATACGCATTTTAAAGGTAAAGGTAAAGGCCCTCCCGTTGATCGTCGATTTGCTCGAGCGGACCCAGTAACGTCTCCATTGGAGACTTTGTTGTTACTGTGTTTGGCATATCGAATACTCTTGGTAGCTTGCCGGGCTCTCCGAGAGGGGCGGAGGAATTGAACTCGGGTCAGCCATGTTGGCCGCTTGTAAGGCGAACGCCCTACCCGCTGTGCTATCGCTCCAAAATATACTGATATTTTTATAAAAATATACAAATTTTCTTATATTTTTAAATAATGTGTGTCACTTCTCAAATTAAAATTGCAATATAGTATTTTCTTTGCAAAAAAGATTCCCCTCTATGAGAGTGATATAAGATATTTTATTTTATTTTTTATTTATTTATTTTTTTGCTTTTTGGGTCACACCCAGCAATGCACAGGGGTTACTCCTGGCTCTTCACTCAGGAACTACTCCTGGCGGTGCTCTAGAGATCATATGGGATGCTGGGAAATGAACCCGGGTTGGTCGCGTGCAAGGCAAACGCCCTACCCGCTGTGCTATCGCTCCAGCCCCAATGTAAGATATTTTAACATAGGAACATATTTGCTTTCTGTGAAAGAAAACAAAGCACTGCTAAGAGAGAAAGCTCAAATAAGTCATTGACTAAGACTGTAATCACGATCACCCTAATCAATTCACCCTACTTCTACTCGCCTTCAAGACCCTGCTCATGCAGAATCCAACTGAGCTTCAGATTAGAAATTAGCCAATTATAATCTTTTAAATCTCTGACCAGGTACAAAAACCCAAAGCTCTGGACAGCTAGTTTTGGAACAAAGCTAAACCCTGCACTGATGAGAAGAAATGTGCAGTCAATCATTGTCCATGAAAACTACGCTGCCCATAAACACGATGATGACATTGCTGTGGTGAAGCTCTCCACCCCCGTTGTCTTTTCCAAAGATGTGCGCAAAGTGTGTCTCCCAGATGCCACCTTTGAAGCCATGCCTAAAAGTAAAGTGTTTGTCACCGGCTGGGGAGCATTAAAAGCAAATGGTGAGTAGTACTGTAGCACTGTCCTCTGGTTGTTCATAGATTTGCTTGAGTGGGCCCAGTAATGTCTCCTTTGTGAGACTTGTTGTTACTGTGTTTGGCATATCAAATACATCACGGGTAGCTTGCCAGGCTTTGCTGAGCAGGCGAGATACTCTCGGTAGCTTGCCGGGCTCTCCGAGAGGGCCAGGGGAATCGAACCTGGGTGGGCCTTGTGCAAGTCAAACGTCCTACCTACTGTACTGTATTTCTGCTAAAATATCTAAGCAAAATTTGAATAAATAGAAAATATATTGCAAGTGAAGATCACTGTCCTGTCACTGTCCTCCCGTTGTTCATCGATTTGCTCAAGCAGGTCCAGTAACGTCTCCATTGGAGACTTTGTTGTTACTGTGTTTGGCATATCGAATACATCACAGATAGCTTGCCAGGCTCTGCCATGCGGGCCAGATACTCTCAGTAGCTTGCCGGGCTCTCCGAGAGGGGAGGAGGAATCGAAATCGGGTCGGCCATGTTGGCTGTGTGCAAGGCAAACACGCTATCGCTGTGCTATTGCTCCAGCCCAAGTGAAGATATAAAATAAATTAAAATATGCCCTCAAATATAACAAAAAAAGAGGGTCTGGAGCGATAACACAGCAGGTAGGGCGTTTGCCTTGCACGTGGCCAACCTGGGTTTGATTCCCAGCATTCCATATGGTCCCCCGAGCACCGCCAGGAGTAATTCCTGAGTGCATGAGCCAGGAGTAACCCCTGTGCATCGCCGGGTGTGACCCAAAAAGAAAAAAAAATGACAAAAAGAGAAATAGAGGGATGAAGATATAGTAGAGCTGGTAGAGTGCTTGCCTTGCAAACAGCTGACCCAGATTCCATTCCCAATAACCTAAATGGTATCCCAAGCCTTGCCAGGAGTGATCCCTGAACACAAAACCAGGAGTAAGCCCTGAATATTGTCAGATGTAACACTTAAAAAAAAAAAGAAAAAAAGAGGTAAAAAACATATTGACAAAGGGTAACATTATGATTGTTTACTATTATACCATGTTTACAATTTTTGTCTTTTAATGGGTTATTTCAAAAACTAGCTATAAATAAATTTTCTAATTATTAATGAATATTTCTCGGTGCTGGAGCAATAGCACAGTGGGTAAGGCATTTGCCTTGCAAGTGGCCAACACTGGTTCGATTCCCAGCATCCCATATGGTCCCCTGAGCACTGCCAGGAGTAATTCCTGAGTGCAGAGCCAGGAGTAACCCCTGTGCATTGCCAGGTTTGACCCAAAAAGCAAAAAAAAAATATTTCTCACATATTTTTGCTGTTTTTTCAAATATAGATATTATGCTAATTAACAATATTATTTATGAGCAACAGTAATGATTAACTTCTATAATTAACTTCTATAAATATTTACTTCTATAACTTCTATAATTAAACTAAATGATTCTAGGCTGTTTTAACTTTTATTTCCCCCTCAAATTTTTCTATTTTAATAATTATTTTAGTTTAGGTAACACAGGTGCAGTAGTGTTAACTCCTATAACTTTGATGTCCAGTTGCTATACCTCACCATCGCCACCATCACCCTTATGTTACTTCTAGTCAACATCTTTATTTCCCATTACCCTTCAGCCCCTGCTTGGTAATATTGGGCTTTTGTTATGGTTTCATTTCTGAAACTTTCATTAATAAGTCATTTTTACCATAGTTTAGGTTATATGTTTACAATAGTATTCACCTTAATGGACATTGATCTACAATTTTACTGCATCCTTGCCCCCCACCACCACACACACACACCCTCCGCCGACACACACCAAATTACTCCAAACCCTCCACCTCTGACTTATGTAGTGCTTCATTTCACCTCTCCCTTCCCCAACTGTTTGGTAATCTGAGATTGTAATGAAAGGCAAGGATTTGTCATTGTTCAATACTGTCTATTTCCTTGTTTTGCTTCTCTATATACTGTAGATGGATGAGCTCATCCAGCAAGGTCCATGGTTTGTCATCATTCGGTACAATCTATTTCCTTGTTTTTAAATAGAGCCTTTAGCAGACAATTTAAAAGAACTTCCTGGTGCAAAATATTAAATAAATTCATCTGATTCATTTACCTATGAGAGAGTGTTTAAGATAAATCAGATACATTTGAACTTCTGAATCTTGTTCCAGGTTTATGCTATGCGTTTCTAGCCTTATTGACATACTTGTTCCAAGTACAGCTACCAAGTCTTTATCAGTTTATATTTACATAAGTCTGCTTCCCTTTCAATAAAGGCTTCATATTGGTGTCAACTTCTAATCCCCAATAAAAAAATGAATAGCTTTTTCTCTGTCACAGGGGGAACTATATTTCAATGAGAACTTATGTCTTTCTAATTCAAAATAGTCATCTTATCAGAAAAACATATTTTAGGATGACATTATTGTCTTTATTGTTAAAAGACTTACTGAGTTTATTCAGAGATAAGATAACATGGTCATATAATGGTCCTCTAATCATTAAAATTGTGACTAATATAAATAAATCATTACACTGTAGACTTTATTTATATATATTTTTTGTTTGGAGTCATACCCAGCGGTGTTCAGGGATTACTTCTGGCTCTATGCCCAGGGATCACTCCTGGTGTCAGTGATTATTGGTAGTGCTGAGAATCAATCTGGGGTGGACTGTGTGAAGGCAGGTGCCTTTCACAGAGTTATCCCTGCACTACATCTCTGGTCCAAGAACATGGTTTTTAATGACTATTGAGAATTGGACTTATTTTTATCAAATTAACCAATTGTAGGTAAGTAAATTTGTTAATTTTTAAAAGATGTAGATTCGGGACTGGAGCAATAGCACAGTGGGTAGGGCATTTGCCTTGCATGTGGCCAACCCAGGTTTGATTTTATGCTCGCCTGAGTACCACCACGAGTAATTCCTGAGCACAGAGCCAGGAGTAATGCCTGTGCATAGCCGGTGTGACCCCCCCCCCCCCAAATGATGTAGATTCTTTTACCATGACAATCCCTAGAAACTCAGTAACAAGCAGAACTTAGACAATGGAGATTTTAAATATTCAACCCTAAGTTCTACCATTTACTATAATATTTCTATTGACTAAATACTGAATCTGAGATGAGACTCTATCATAGCTACTTATCTTCCTTACATTTAATCATCACATAAAGCATGTTGAGATAAAATTCTCTTTTATTGACAGGGAAGTAAAATGTCAGGAAAATTAAGACCTCATAACATAAATTGTGAAAGTGTTGAAAAATACCTTCTCATCCAAGACCAGGACCGTTGATCACTAAATTATCCTAACTTGTTGCTCAAAGTAATAGTGTTTCCACCTCTATTTCCTAAATTGTCTTTGAATTTGTTATAAACAAGGCATTGATATTTATATGAAGGACTATTATAGTCATCAAGATCATAGCATTGGTCATCTAAAATCTTCCATTTAGCTATGTAATCATGGCAGCAATCATAAATGTGATCTTTGGTCTTATCATGTGAAAAAGAATGAACACGAGGGGTGTTCCTTAGCAGACTTTAGGGTACTTGGGATCCACTTCCACTGTACTTGACCCAACCCTGTGGGATTGATGGCTCAGAGTCGAGTCCCAGTGAAGTGGTACCTGCTCACTGTGTCAGTGTGTAGTGACCCAACAGTGCTCAAGAAATCATGAGTTGCTGTTTTAAACTTGGTGCCGCCACAACAAACATATGCTACAGACCTGTGAGTTATTTCCCCAGCATCTTCCCCCCCAATATTCTTAGCTATCATTGCAAATAATAAATATGGATTAGAAATAAGGTCTGAGCGTAATATGTGCTGATACTCAATAAGACAGTAATAATAAATATAGTTTGAACTATGACATATTATCAAGTCCAGAGTCCTACAACTTCAAGACATATTTTACTATTGATTCATTTTTGCAAGATACAACAAACAATCATATTTATCAATGTGGAAAATCTTCATCTATTTACTTTTCTTCTTTAGGTCCCTTCCCCAATACTTTGCGTGAGGTTGAAATTGAGATCATAAGTAATGATGAATGTAATCAGAACAATGTGTATGGTGGGGCTGTGTCATCAGGAATGCTATGTGCTGGTTTCCTGTCAGGAAAACATGATGCCTGTGAGGTAAGAATTGACTCAAAAACAAACAAAAAAAAAAACACATGAATAGACACATGTCACTTCATGTGACTCTATGAAAAGAACATGTGAAGAAGAGGAGGGATTATAAAAAAAAAGGAGTGGATGAGCTACAACAAATAATCTGCATAAGTATCCTATTATTGTCCAGAAAGATATATGATAAATTTATCACCTGCTGCAAATTAGGAATCTGATTGGATTAAACAACTGGAAGCAAATACTAGAAATCAAACAGAAGCTACACACATTAACAGCTCCAATCCAGAGTTTTAATCAATAGTTGGCGATCTAATAAGAGACTGTGAAATGGGATTGCGGTTACCTCCATCGTCAATAGAGTGTCATCCCAGCAGTCCTTGAATTTTGGACTTTAAATGATATAGATTCACATATAATTTAATTATGATATCTAGGAAAGAGAACATATTTATATACTTACCCATAATCAAAATTTCACTGGAGCGATAGCACAGTGGGTAGGGCTTTTTCCTTGCACACAGCCAACAGGACTGTAAAATCTTATCACGCCGAAGGTTGTATGTTCACGGACTCACTGGACGGCACTGTTTCACCGCCTGCGTTCGGTGCTCTTGAGCCACTGTGTGTGGCCTGGATCGGAACGGCTGTTGGCCAAGGGCAGACGGAGGGAAAAATGGGGGCCAGGCTGGTCTATATCAATAGTAGTTTATTCCAATCCTCTTCACTCCTGTCTTTCTCTGCCTCCTTCTCCAGTCTTGGAAGCTCTCTCCTTCTGGCTCTGACTCTGGATCTCTGGAGCCCGAGCTCTTTCACTTCTGACCCCTTTTCCGAGCTTACGTCTTAGTTTATATAGCAGTCACATAAGGCGGTGACATAAAGGTGGGTTGAATACTGACAAATCAACAAAGAGAGGTAAGACCACTCCTCCAGGAGATTAACTCAAGGATAAAATCTCATCTACAGAGATTACTTCAGATTACTAGGAGATCCACCCAAGGGTGGGATCCCAACAAGGGTGTGTTCTTCCTTCAGTTAGTAATCTACTTAAATAGTTGTAATAAATCTACTTCTAATATTTCTAGCAATGTCATTCTGTATGAGCACAGTAGAGATATAAATTTAGTTTGGTTCTTCCTGAGAACATCTCACTATACATTTCGCAGTCCTCAGGCCAGGTTAATCTTCCTAGTTCCAGCAGGGTCCTAGTCTCGTCGTTACTTACTTTTGGATCATGACAGCATTTGTCCATGATCATGCCCTCAATTTATAGTTGAGTATCGTGGCTCTTTGGCCTGGCACATTTCGATGCCAGGGTAGCTCACTGCTTGCCCTGGGTCCATTCAGTCCCTCGTCGGGACCCTGCTTTTGGCGTGCTAGGAATTAAGGGCAACTGAGTCAAGAAATCAGATGCCCAGGAGTAAATATTATTCGGAGTCAATCAACTCCCAAGTTACAAAGCATAATATTAACTGTCTTCCTGTGTCCACACAGAAAGGACATTGCTTACAATACAAGTTCAGTGTTCTTAGATGGGTGTGACCTGACAAATCTAAGCTACCTGAGGAAGGACAAAAGAGTGTTATCCTACACAGGACCAACCCGAGTTCGATTCCTCCACCCTTCTCAGAGAACCCAGCAAGCTACCGAGAGTATCTAGCCCACACGGCAGAGCCTGGCAAGCTACCCTTGATGTATTCGATATGCCAAACATAGTAACAACAAGTCTCATGAAGGAGACGTTACTGGGCCCGCTCGAGCAAATCGATGAACAAGGGGACCGTGATTCATATGTAGAGATTAAATATTTATCTCAACCATATAAAACATTTATTTAAACATTTAAGGAGCGTGATTAAAACTGGAGATTATAAGTATAAGTAAAGGCCCTCCCGTTGATCGTCGATTTGCTCAAGCGGGCCCAGTAACGTCTCCATTGGAATTATTTGTTTGGTTTTGGTTCTGGAGTGACCACTAGCAGTGCTCAGGGCTTACTCTTTCTCTGTGCTCAAGGATCATTCCTGGAAGCGCCTGGAGTTGAGAAACCATATGCAGTACCAGTGACAGAGCAAGCAAGCACTTGAACTCCTGCATTATCGCTTGGCCCACATACATAACTAAAACTGGACAACAAAGTTTTCAAGATTTTACCAGTAATATTTGAAACTAGACACAACAACTTAACAATTCTTAAAGAATGAAAGAATAATTTTGTGAATTTAACATAATATCTAGTTCTATTACGTGCAAATATACCGCTAGTAGTCTGCTGTGGAATTTGTCAAGTAATGATTATAAGCGTTCACTTGCGCATCCCTTTTAGTTTTTTGATGGGGTGCACACCGGACAGTGCTCAGGGTTCACACCTGACTCTGCACTCAGGGATCATTCCTGGCTGAGTTCAGCAGATCATAGGGGTGTAGAAGTTGAATTGAGGTCGACCATGTGCAAGGCAAGCTCCCTGCTCACTGCAGTGTCATTCGCTACCCATTACTCCTTTTCTTTTTGAGTAAATTGTAAGGTACTGTGACAATTACTGAGAGAAAAACAAGCATTAAAAATGAATTCACATTTATGGCTGGCCAAATACCCTTATGCCTCTGGCTTTCAAGCTGTTGTTTGCCCTCTATCATTGGTCTATAGCTTCTGAAGCAGGTTGCACAGTAAAAGAAAAGAAAAGGAAATGAAGCCCCAGTGAAATTCTAGTCTGATAATAGAGCAGGCAGCTAACTAGAAACAACAAAAGGCTCAGACTTGTGCGGCTGCATTCTGAAACACAAAGGTTCCTTCAACTCAAGGCAGGAAAAATGTGATTGGTCTAAAATAAAAGTAGATTGAATGACTTTTGAAGAATAAATAAATGGATATACATTTATAAAAGGCCTAATTACACAAAGATGAATTCTAGTTATATTTGACTATATTCTGTAAGAGTAAGAGTAATCGATGCTCTCTTTTCTATGATCCAGTTGAGCCCTATTGTCTCTTTCATTAGTAGCACACAGGAATTTAAATAAGGTTGTGAGTCCATGGGCAATGAGCTAAATATACTTTTTGATAACCTAGATTTTTCGTGTCAGTTATTGTGTGATAAATGGTGACATTTGTTTGGAATATGTTTTATATAACCTCTTCTCTAAAACATATTGCCACACAGTATTGAGTGTTCAGATTACATTCCTATCCAGTGAAACAGGTGAAATGAAAATTCTAATCAAGAAAGTGTTTCTAGGACTGGAGAGACAATATAGTGGTTAACCTACTTGAGTTGTATGAGGCTGATTCTGGTTCAAACCCCAACATTACATATAATGGTCCCTTGATAGCCATCAGGAGTCATTCCTGAACATAGAGCCAGGAGTAAGGCCTGAACTTACTGTCAGATGTGTCCCCAAAATACAGAATAAAAAATCGAAAGACTGTTTCTACGTAATAGAGTTAGTCGAGGCTTCAGATAGTAGGTGACATGGAGTTGAATGTAGAGGCCATCATTCATGTATGAATTTGATACCTATGCTTTTGTTTAGATAAAGCGCAACTGGGGCAAGAGAGATAAAACAGTGGACAAAAGATTTGTCCTGCCTGCCACCTACATAGGTTCAATCATGGTGAAACATATGGACCCCTGAGCATTGCGAGGAATCATCCCTGAGCACTGCTAACTCTAGAGCAGTGCATTACCTGCCCCCAACTCTACACCATACACCCATTCCCAGGCAAAAATGTTTAGATAGAACAAAGCAAAAAAACAGTACAAGAATAAAACTCAAAACTTAGTTTTATGTATGCTAACTACTGAATGAATGGTTGTCACTAATGGAGATAACCCCTATTACTTCTGTCACTAGCAGAGATAACAATAATGAGTGCTATTATATTAATACTAATGGTAAATAAACTTTAATCTAGCTTTACATAATTAAAATATTAATTTATTGGACATTTATATTTGATTTACTCATATTTCTGATACCTCTTTGTTAAGTGAATGATATATCTTCTTCTTCAGGGTGACTCTGGAGGACCTCTGGTTATTTCAGAAAACAATAATATCTGGCATGTTATTGGAATTGTAAGCTGGGGGATAGACTGTGGAAAAGAAAACAAGCCTGGAATCTATACCAAAGTCACTCGTTACCGGGACTGGATTAAATCTAAAACTAACATCTGAAGCAACAGCAACCTCCTCATCCAGAATTTAAATGTCATGTGTGCTCACTCACAAAGTTTGTTTAGTGTTTGTTTTTTGCCATGTACATTGTCATTGATTTCAGGACACAAATAATGGCAATCTGATAACTCTCTACTTAAATAAGATTGAAGCCCGAAATGCTTTACAAGGAGCATACAAGATGTCATCCAATTCCAGAACATTGCAGCTAAGTGTTTCCGATCACCGTCATCCTCTTCCGGTTCTAACTACACACTTCTCATTCTAGAATAATACAGCAGTTTAATCTGATAGGTAGCAACTGGTTCAGCATTCTCTGTTGCATTTTTTCTCCTGACAGAGCACGCTGCCCTTCCCTGATTCCTGAGGAAGATTTTATCTTCCTCATTAAACAATCCTCATTAAGAATCTGTAGGTTGACTGTGTTAGACAAATAAAGATAATTCATTTCAACCAACACACTGTTAAGATGTATAATGAAAGGACACTAATGACAATCCTGGGATTTACGATGATGACTCTATAGTGAGTCCTTTGCAAACCTCAACTATGTACTTAGCCTCTCTTTGACATTTGAAAAGAGTAACACCACATTCATGCCCAATAGTGTGGATTTAAAATTTTAAGCCTCTACGTTAATATTTACTTGTTTTTTGAGCCACACCCTCAAGTGCTCAGAAGTTACTCCTGGCCTTTGTGCTCAGGAATCACTGCTGGTGGACTTGGGGGACCAGAGGGGATGCTGGGGATTGAACTTGAGTTGGCTGTTTGCAAGACAAGCATCCTACCTGCTGTACTATCTCTCTGGCCCCAGTTAATGTTTACTTTTGTACAATAAATAAACCCTTGGAACAGACAAGGAGAACTATATTGTCTTGTAGAACTCTGTTCTAAACTATGTAAAAATGTATTTTGATATTTGTAAAGTGGTCTTTCTGTCTATTCATTAAGTGGAAATGAGAAGAACCAAAGAATTAAGCACTCAGTAAGAAGGAATCACTCTCCATCTTTCCAAGTCACATAGCAAACTGATTTTTCACTTTTGCTTAATTGTTTAATAATGTAATTAATTTAGAAATAGTTTCATTTTTAATCAACGTGTGCACAACTAATAGACCAGTGAAACAGGTCAATATTAATTATATATTCATGTATAAATTATCTAATAAATTAACATAAAATTAAGTATACATAGACAATTTAATACAAAATTTGGGGATCTGACTTATTGTACAATATTTAATTTTACTGGTCAAATGTTAGATATTCTGTGAAAAATGATTTTAACATATATTACTCAAATCATCAAGAAGTGCCTTTGTATTGGTTTAATATGAGACAGTCATTTATAATAAAATGTGTGTAGTATTTAAATGAATATCTTATGACTTTGTATATAACCTTGTTATAACATTAAACAACTTAGGTCTTTTTCTGTGTATCTAAACCTTTATTTGTTTCTCCTCTCCTTTTACAATTAATTTAATGAACTAACTCTTATGTTAAGATTTTTTAAAGATATTCTTTTGTATTTTATATTAAATATGAGTCTCTCTTATGCATAAAATGTTATATTGCATAAATAAAATATATTTATAATATTGGAATCAAGCTATTTTCTATGATTGGTCTCTATATCACTTCATTTCTCAACCTTGGTACTACTGCTTTTAGTGAGAGATAATCCTTTATAATGGGTGGTGATGGAAAGGCAGTAGCTCTCTCCCACAAATTTTTTCTTCTACAGAGTCGTTGCCAATAATAACCCCATGAAGCTGTAACAAAGTAAAATGCACACAGGGCCAGGGAGACAGCTCCAAAGGCAAAGCACATGTGCATAAGCAAAGTCCTGATTTCCATCTCCACCACCACATACCCCTACTAAACCAAGCACAGGGGGATAGCCCTGTGTTCATGAGTTCCACACTGCTGAGTCTAATCACTGAACTAGAAGATTTTCACCTTCCAGACAAGAATTTTCAGGGGGAACCCCAGGTCTTTTGAATTCTTCTGGGTATGACCCCCCAAATACATACATACATATATATATATATATATATATGCCCTCCCTGCTGTACTATCGCTTTCTCTCTCTCCTCTCTCTCTCTCTCTCTATATATATATATATATATATATATATATATAGAGAGAGAGAGAGAGAGAGAGAGAGGAGGGAGAGAGAGAGATCAATAGATAGATAAATATCTCCAAAATTTCCAAATTTCCCTGAGGATAAAATTATGCTGAATTGGAATTATTGTTATAGGATCAATAGCACTGTAGCACTGTCCTCCCGTTGTTCATCAATTTGCTCGAGTGGGCACCAGTAACATCTCCATTGTCAGACTTGTTACTGTTTTTGGCATATTGAATACACCATGGGGAGCTTGCCAGGCTCTGCCATGTGGATGGGATATTCTCAGTAGCTTGTCAAGCTCTCCGAGAGGGACGAAGGAATTGAACCCAGGTCAGCTGTGTGCAATGCAAATGCCCTATCCACTGTGCTATCATTCTATTATTTCCTTATGCACTAAGAGATGTTTTTTAACCTTATCCCATACATTATACAGCACAGGTGTTATACAGCATAGAGCAGTATTCCAATCACATTTTAAAGACATCTGACAGCAGTGACTCCCTGACTTTACACCAAGCAAAGTAACAATTCAAGGAACATCAGCTAATTCAGACTGCAGTTCAGAGTCAACTTGCCTTTGAGTAGTCCATAATTTCCCAAAGTTCTCACGCCATCTCTGGATGAATTCCACAGTCTATGCTCCTTGCTTCTTCTCATTTTTCTTTACTTTGAGACTGACAAAAGACTGTATATTCTGGATGCATTTATACTAAATTAATCCTAGAAAAATTTAAATTGTTTCAAATTTTAACTTCATTTTAGGAGACTATTTGAGGGCTGAGCTGCTACAGGCAAATAATCTAGATAGATAGGTTAAAATAGATGGATGTAGGTCTATACATATAGACTTTTCTAGAGAGGATTTTGTCAAATACCTAAAGCTTGCATAAATGCACTCTTTATATACTTTATTTAGGCTGGAGTGATAGCACAGCGGTAGGGCGTTTGTCTTGCACGCAGCCAACATGGCCGACCCGAGTTCGATTCCTCCGCCCCTCTCGAAGAGCCTGGCAAGCTACTGAGAGTATCTCGCCCACACGGCAGGGCCTGGCAAGCTCCCCATGATGTATTCATATGCCAAACACAGTAACAACAAAGTCTCCAATGGAGACGTTACTGGACCCATTCAAGCAAATCAATGAACAACGGGAGGACAGTGACAGTGACAGGATCCTTAGAATGCCTAACTACTACCTGAAATGATATTAGATATTGGACTGAGACAAATGGCTCATTTCATTACCTCTAGTATTTGTAGATTGGACAATATAAGCATCATTATATACTAAAACTCATTGTTTGATATGGAGTCAAGATCAGATAAGATTTAGATTTAATTTTATTTAAATCTGTTCATTTCCCTCATAACATTGATCATAGTTATAAAAAAATGGCCATATAGGACCAATAGTTTTCTTTTTTTAATGTAGGATTACTGCTATTTATTCAGTCACTGATTAGGCTGACTGAATTGGGCATGAACTCCACAGACCAATAGTTTTCATATTGGGCAACAAATATCTATATAATTTCCAATATTTCAGAAAATTGTATTGGACATCAATGACTTAAGAATATTTCATGCATTAATTTCTATAATCACTCAATCATATATCAAGGATTTCTTGTTTTAGTTTTTTGTATCCCGAACACTGGGTGTACGATTGCGAATGCTGGAGAGATACTATAGGAGGTGAGACCTGTACTTTCCTTGCATCCACTGACCGCAGTCAGGGGTTATGCCAGAGCACAGAGACATCCCTATTCATGCCCACCCATCCCCTCGAATCCTGTTTTCAGACTACATTACAAGATAAAAGTGTTTTTGATAATTTCTGTTGAAAGCAGAAGACCGTTTAGGGAGTATGGGTGACCAGTCAAAGCAAAACCACTTTTAGATTCTACTTTCTCTAGGAGCACAGGTTTACTAGTCCACTAGGATGACATGACTTTATGAACCATTTCAGACCCATACCTAGGTAAGATGAAGCTTTCAGAAGTTTTCAACATTCCTGAGCCAGAGAGATAGTACTTGTCTTTATTTTTTAAATTTAATTTTATTTTTTATAAAGTTGTTCACAATAAATTCTTACATTCAATATTCCCACACTAATCTCACCATCATTATACCTTCCCACCAGCATTATTTCAAATTTTTACAACCACCATCCAAGTTTGCCCCATTTTCAGGTCTTAAATAATTTATTTTGTGTTGCTTATTATGAATAACTCTCAAAAATGAACAAAGAAAAGTTTTCTTAGGAGACAGTGTGTGAAGATTGTTGGAACTCAACCTGGAGTCATTAAATCCTTGTAAAAGAGATTACTAACATGTTGTTATAGGTTGAACCTGTGTGTTAATATTTTTTTAATTGAGATTGGTTGCCTTCTACTTTACATCATATCTAATGTGGTGTGCTGCTACTCCTGGTACATTAGTGGTGTAGAGTGTTTGGTGTTGTGTGACAGCTTTAGGAATTCTAAAATTTTAAATAGAATGGTACAGTTGGAGTTATAATTTTAATTGGATGGTGATTTTGGGATCTGGAGGTTGTTGAAGGGCTCACTGCTTCCCCCCACCCACCCCCAGGGTGCCCTCTACTGAAACTCAGCCTACCCTGAGTTCTGGAGGCATCTCTGCATTTTGTTTATCTCTTCCGAGATTTATTTGTGAGTCTCTGGATCATGGCTGGTTAATAATAAGCTCATATGGTGACAAAGGCAGTTTGTTGGCATGCCTGCCAGGCTCCTGGAAAAACAAGGGGGTTGGGGGAGGTCACCCATAAGACCCTAGAGATTTCGGTCACAAAATCCACATACCTGAGTTTTTCCATCAGACTCATTCTTAGGTGTGGCTCGTCTA